GGCCAAAAGCCCATGTGTTCGAACCCTGCACTGTCACTCCGCATTGCAACCCTGTCAAAGAGGAGACTGGAGAAGGGGAGAGTCACCTGCACCCCAACCAACCCCACTAAACAAACGTGTTGGTAGGTTTGATGTTGCAATTGGGTCCGAGTAGAATGCCCCAGACCTATGAAATGGCGTCCGTCGTGCGAGATCTGGAGTTGACTCACGCTTATCTCCAGGAATGCGGATATGTCCATCTACAATGGATATTGTACGGGTCACCAGCCGAATACTACTCCGTCTAGTGCCGTTTGGTGGGGTTATGTGTATGCAGACAATTGGGAGCATAGCATCCACCGTGGGTCAGCAACCTGCATGCATTTACACAAACATCGAAATGATTCAAGCGGCCTCCTGGGACTACATGGCAGATGACTAGCAACACTGACCAACAGCCAGCTCATTCAACATCCGCGTCTCCGTTCGTGAGTTAGTTCTAGAAAACGTGAGCTTTTCCGAGATTAAATATCGTGTAAATAAGCTCCTGTCCAGGGAGATGTTGCCCAGACGTGGCTGATGATCTACGCGGCCAAGTGCTTGGAAGAGCTTGGAAAGAACCAAGATAACGAGCATTTTCCGTTCAGAAAACGAGGTTTTCCGTGCTGTTTTCCGCTATTGCCTTGGCATACCGGCCCAAGGCCAAGGTGGTGTGACGGGGAAAAGGCGTAGAAACGCCATCACCGCCAAGCTTTCCCAGAGTTGGGGTGGCAGGTACCGACAGGGGACATCGTGGTGCTGCGCCGCTTTGGGTCTGGTGCCAACCTGTCATGATAGTTTCAACTTGTCATCTAGGAGAAGAAGTAGTGACACTGAGAGACATTTGAGTGCCTCAGTGTCGAGGGGGAGACCCGTGCGAGGAGTTCCAGCCATAGTCGAACAAGGTATTGCATGACCTGGAATGTAAATGGTCGATGGAGTAACGCGCTGTATTTCAACAAAACTGACGCGAGAGCAATGGCGGCCTTCACAATACGACCTCGCAGAAGCCCTGGATCATCTGTAGACGCCACGGTACTAGACCCTGACCGCCGAGCCGTGAAAGGGAGTCTAATATCTGCACCTCAGGCGTTTGCTCTAGTTCGGGATGTGAACGCCCTTTTAAAAGAGGTCTTGGCTGGCTCCTCTTCCCCGCACTCCGCACTCGCGGATAAGCTGCCGTACCCCATCTACCCCATGGGGATGCTCCTCGACTCCACCAATCAAGCTGGCCTAACGCCGTTCATCTGGACCCGACGCGATGGCTGCGAACGGTGGATATACATGGGCCTGTTCGGAATGGGGTTCGTAAACATGGGGATATATATCCAAGCTGCCTCCAGCTGGTTTCTGATCCTACCTCGTCCTTCAACCTGCGAATCTCTTAGGCATCTTTTGTCGACAGCAGTTCCCCGGCACCGTTAGCTCGAGACTGGAAGTTTGTCCAGGCTTGTTGGACTTTTTAGCAGGCATCGCGTGTCTTGCTCTCTTTGACCGGACTTTTCGCCAACGCCAAGCGTCGAGATGGCGACCAACGTCCACACCGGCAGGCCCGATTCGCCTCAGGACAAGGTCGGAGTCAACCAGATGGAACACGTCCTGACAACCGATGATCCGGCGCTTATGAAGCAGCCCGCCATCGAGAAGGTGGATGAGTTTGGCGCCCACACTAAGACCGACCCCAGAGAAATTGCACTGGTGAAGAAGATTGACTGGTACATTCTCGTATGTTGCTTTGACGGCCACGGATTTTCATCTCTGAGGAGTAACTGATTTGACCTCACACAGCCCATCCTCTGGGTGATGTACTTTCTCAACTTCTTGGACCGAAACGCCATGATTAATGGCAAGCTCAACGGGCTCGATAAAGACTTAGGTCTGAAGGGACAACAGTACAATACCTGCGTATCAATTCTATTCGTCGGGTAAGTGCTTTCGTAATCATCAGGATGATGCGTCAGACTTACTAACCACTCAAAAGCTACCTCTGTGGCCAGGTCCCCTCCAACATGATTCTTAACAGAGTCCGACCCTCGTGGTACATGGCTGGCTTTATGATGGCATGGTCCGTTGTCAGTCTGCTGACATACAAGTGCCACGACTTTGCCACCATGCTTGTCTGCCGCTTCCTTCTCGGAATTACCGAGGCGCCTGTGAGTGACTAATTCAATGTTGAGATTGAGGCGGTATACTAACAATGCGACATAGTTCTACCCGGGTGCCTTGTACATGCTTTCCATGTTCTACACGCGCAAGGAGGTCTCAAGTCGCATGGCCATCTTTTACACTGGAAACATGGCAGCGTCTGCATTTTCGGGTCTGATTGCCGCCCCCATCTTTTCTGAGATGCACGGCATGAGGGGTCTTCATGGCTGGCAATGGTGAGTCTGAGACTATGTTTTCTGAAATTCGCAATCAGCGCCCTCTGGCTGACACTTCTTTTCGCAGGCTCTTCATCATCCAGGGCGCCATTTCTATTCTCGTCGCTTTCTTCGCCTTCTTCCTGTTGCCCGACAGCCCCCTCAAAACCCGTTGGCTCAATGAAGAGGAACGTCAACTTGCCCACACCCGAATCTACAACGACACAACCGACCGTCGCGAAGGCACCTCTGTCTGGAAGGGTCTCAGCGAGGCTTGCATGGACTGGCGCACCTGGGTCTTCTGCCTTATGGACAACCTCCACTTGTCCGCGAACGGCTTCAAGAACTTCCTCCCTACCGTCGTCAAGACCCTTAAGTTCAACACCACCGTTACCCTTGTCCTCACCTGCCCTCCCTACGTCTTCTCGGCCTTCTTTTCCGTCCTGGTTCCCTGGTCATCCGGAAAGTACAACGAGCGCACCTGGCACATCACGATCAGCAAGCTCATCGTCTGCATCGGCTTCGTCATGTCCGTCGCGTCTCTTAATATGGCTGTGCGATATACTGGTATTATGCTTTTCGTTGGCGCAACCTATGGTGTTAATAACCTGATTCTGGGATGGACCTCCTCCGTTCTCGGACAGACTGATGAGAAGAAGGCCGTTGCGATTGCCATGGCGAACACGTTGGGTAATGCGGCTAGCATCTACACGCCATACCTTTGGCCCGATTCCGACTCCCCTCGATTCCTTACAGCCATGTGCGCGAGCATTGGCTTTTCCATCGGTGTTGTCATCTGCGCCTGGTTTATGAGGTGGGCTCTGATCCGCACGAACAACAAGAAGAGACGGGAGGACCCCAATGCCACCAACTTCTATGTCTACTAAGAAGAGACTGGATGAACGGGAGATGACCTAGCGTTCTATGGGTGGCCGTCGAAGTTAGATGGAGTCATCATGTAATAGTTCACCATGTAGGCAGCTAATGTCCAGAAGGGGTAATACAACGGAATTGACTCCACAGAACAAAGGGCCAATCCTGATTCGCCACATGATGTGCGCCGCTGGAACTGAATGTGCCGGTTGTGAGATCAAATAGCCAATATTTTTGGACGTGAGCCTTCCACAACACCAATCTTTGGTTACTACTGGGTAGAGTCCGAGGATGAATCTTTTCCAGTCGTATTTGTTCAACTTCTGGAGAAATAGCTTTCATTAAGGCGCCAAGCTTAGAATTCAATTTTAAGCTTACGTCTCCTGCCGCAGCCGGCTTGTCTTTGGTCTTGAGATGACTGATGAGGCAACATCTGAGCATAGCCGGAGCTCCCCAGGCTGCAGGCGTGCAAGGCGCTGTAAGCACTATGGGCGGAGGGATTGTCAGCTTCATGTACGCTAGGGACATGGGGTTCTTGTCTCCAGCCTGAAGTAAGCACAACAGTATGGACTGAAGACTGCGTAGACTGCACATGCTGCCATGTGGTTCTACAAGACAGCAGCTCACACCTCCCACAGTTGACAGTGGCAGGATTCAACCTGCAGCTATGTGGCTTAGACAATGGAATCATTTCATCAGTTTTCTCCTTGTTCTGCGGATGCCTGGTCAAAAGTTCTTCCTTGCTGCAGCTGGAAATGTACAGATTCGTTATGCTGTTCAACACTAGCCCTAATGCTTTAGTGGAAGTTGGTTCAATTGTCATCCCATTTTCTAGAAACAAGGTCTGGCCGTCTGAAGTTGATCCATGCAGCGAGCACACTCGGACTTCCGAAAGCCACAAACACATGGTAATCAGGTCGGTAGAAACATGGTCGGACAATTCGGACGCAGCTTGCATTTCAAAGCCTACCTAATGCCACGTGGAGCAGACATGGATGGAATCAACAACACCAACTGAGGAAACATCTTTCCCCAGACTCCCCCGTCCTACAATGCAGAGCTGCCTGCTGACGGATCAGCCTTTTGCTGCGGCCAACGAACCCAGCCTTCAGCCCTCCAACTCGTTTTCGGCGGTGAACCCAGCAAGCTGGCACCACACTGCCCGGGACAGCCCCCAACGAACGTCAATCCCTGTCTCCCATCAGCGCCAAGATGCGCTAGGGAACGCGCATCTTCGGTGATTCGCCAGTTCCAACTCATCTAGCATCAGCAGTCCCAATATGGATCCCCATTCTGCAGTTTGCCAGGCTGTGCTGGCCTAGGTTTGGTGGGTGTTGCTATTACCGGTCCGGCGTAAGCTTGATGCCATTCCCGGGTGCACTGCAGATGAAGGATGCCTGGCGCACATCACTCCACACCACAACACATCGTGAATGATTATCGGTGCCGGGTATCGCAGGAGGCACAGCACCAACAACGGCAACTACGAAAATAGACAGTTACAATTATCGAAAACAGTCTGACGCCGGATCTTGCCTCTCCATGTATATAATGATGATCTTTGAACCTCTGTTCATGTGTCTTGTCTCCTCATCATCACAACCAACGCAATCAAACAACTTGAAGACCAGTTCCCATTTTCCCTACTTTTCCTTTTCCTTTTCCTTATTTCCTTTGTCAGTCAGGATTTCCTATCTGTCAGACACCACATCAACTATCACTACCAGATCATCAGTAACAGTAATCAAGATGCACTCCTCCATCATCCTCTCTTCAGCCCTCTTCGCTGCGGCCGCCCTCGCCGCCCCGGCCCCTTCCAAGACCATGTCCTCGGCTCCCGCCGCCAACACCAGCTACTCCCACGACGGCCACAATGGCGGCTCCATCGACGACGTCCTCCCGCCTATCGTCCCCGTCAACACCCGCTCCGGCAACCAGGACCTTATCACTAAACTCCTGACCGCCCCTACCCAGCAGGACCGAGTCAAGCTCCTCAACCAACCCGGTGACTTCGTCTTCGACTTCAACGACTCCGGCGCCCCGGAGGGCTCCGAGTCCCGCGGCAAGGGCGGCTTCTCCACCTCCGCCACGGCCAAGACCTTCCCCGCCCTCATCGGCAACGGCGCCGCCATGACTCTCGGCTTCCTCGGCCCCTGCGGCATGAACACTGCCCACGTCCACAACCGGGCCACCGAGCTCAATGTCATCGTCAAGGGTCGTCTCGTCACCAACTTCCAGATCGAGAACGGCGTCGAGCCCATCGCCAACACCATGAATACTTTCCAGATGTCCGTCTTCCCTCAGGGCGCCATCCACCAGGAGTTCAACCCCGACTGCGAGGATGCCGTCTTCGTCGCCGGCTTCAACAACGTCGACCCCGGTGTTGAGCAGGTTGCCCAGACCTTCTTCAACCTGCGCCCGGATGTCGTCTCTGCTACTCTTGGTGGTGTCCAGACCATTGACGGCGCTGACCTCGAGAGCTTCCGTGAGCACATCCCCGCCAACATTGCTCTCGGCATCGACGCTTGCTTGAACAAGTGCGGCATCAAGCGCAATGCCAAGCGTGACCTCAACGAGATCTTCGGCGCTGCTCAGTAAATCCACTTGGGAGGGATGTCTATCAATGTGGAGTTTAGTTGTGCTTTTGGGGCTGTAACCTTTCTTGTCTTTAGCGGGTATTAGCATGATGGAGTGTTGGCTAGAATTTGCATTGGGAACCGGTTGGCATATGTGCGGGATTCGCACTGGATGGGGCGGTTGGCGTTTATGGATGGGACCAATACCTTTCGCTGAACCATATTTATAAATACACACTCCTTCGTTATGAAGCCTACTCTTGTACCAGTTGATAATGAGTTCCCAGACCGTCCAATAGAACTTGACGACAAGCTCCAAATTTCGATGAAGAGACGAATTAACTACTGCATGACTTCCAACTGTTCATGTCGAAGTCTTCTTGCCCACGAGTTGACGATTGCGAACCATCCTGTCGTCATCAGATCTGTGCAGCAGACTCCGTGACGCCATGTGGCGGGGTTGTCTCCTCGGCATCAACACCTCTGAACTCGAAGTACTTCTTCCATTCTGGATCGTTCACCAACTGCTGGACCAGTTCCTTTTCGAACGCAAACTGTAGCTCAATACCCTCGTCTTCGCCGGCCGGTCCACGATGCGGAGGATATACAACAACCAGTCCCTCGGCCATGGTGTCTAACAAGTGTCGAAAGGCACTGGGCTTCCCAAAGCCAAAGTCGGCTGAACACACATCCGCGTCTCGCCAATCGGTCATGGCTACAGTCATTGGTGGGAAAGAGTTGACGCGAACCGACAGGTCCGCCTTATTCCGAATAGGTGCTAGCATTTGTAAGGCCCCTTTCAGCAGATCCTCCGTGACCCCATTGGTCATTTGGCGTGTGTAGCTCGCCAACTTGGACAGAGGAGCGTCCGAGATTATCTCAGCAGTGGTCAACTGTGCGACCGGCGACAGGGTTGACAATGTTGCGAAAAATTGGTTTCCCTGCATGCGTGTCGGCATCGCAGGGTTCGTCAGACGCTTGCTCATGGTAACACCCTCACCCCAAATTGGATAGGAAGCTGGATCCGGGTTGTACAAGGGCTGGCGGATTCTTGAGAAGACGCGCCAAGTCAGAGCGCTGATAGCGTCGTATGTGGATATCCAAGAGCCGTCGCTGGGAGAGGCGGCCTTCTTGAGCTCTGCTGCCTTGCTCTTAGGTAGATGGAAGATCAGGCATTGAGAGAGCTTGTGCTCTGGGTGACGATCGGCCTGAGGAGGTGCACTTATGCGTGAGGCTTCTGCCATCAGTGGCGACATGAAGCGGCTGCGGTCCAAACAGCTGGTGTCAAAGGAGGGAAGCTCGCTATTGTTGAATATAGCGCAACAGTTATCTGCCAACTGTCTCACGAAATTGGCCCACCCTACTACGTCATTACTGTAATGGTGGGGGTGCATGTTGAAAATGAGTCCACCCGGTATGAAATTAGCCTTGTAGGAAGCAACCACGGGGCTGTTGTCTGGATGAGCTTCTGGTTTTTCGCCGTAAGTCATAGGAGCGTTGCTCAGGATGTTGATGTTTCCGAGTTTAGCCGACAGAAAGTGCGCCTTTTCAATGTCGTCGAACGAAGCGAAACCATCCTGAGGAGAGTCGAGATATTGGATGACAAATTTGACAGTGCTGGATTTTGTCTTGACGATAGAGTGGTGACCATCTTCGTCCTTCTCAATGGTACCAACGAGGTGCCGGGTCTGACCGAGCGTCCGCTCCAGGCCCTTCTTCAGTATATCCGCAACTTGACTATTGAAGTGTTAGAGTCAATAATACATCCTTTCTTACGTATACACCAATACTTACCTCTTTTGTTCACCATTGAGTCTGAAGAACAACGTGTAGTTGTTGTAAGTCATCGCTGACAGATAGTCGAGCGTAGATAATTTGAAACGCTCCTCATCTGGGTCATTTTCCCAACCGCTAGGATGGAGCTGAAACTCTTCGACTCTCGGCATATCGATGATGTTGCAAAAGAACCGTCAAAACCAAAGTATGTTGGTGTAGCTTGTCTTGCAGCAAGGTTTTGGACACAACCTATGCTTATATGAGCGGTTGTGGTGCCCTTCCTATGTGAGTAAAGCATTTTCTGCACTCCAGTCGGGGAAAGCAGACATACCATGCTGTGTTGGGCGCCGTGGCTGCAAGGTCACCGTGACGATGTCTGATTGGTTTTAGTATGCATACCAAAGAATTGGCATCACACTGGAATGGGGTGACCTTCTATTACCCGGCGAGGAAAGGATCTACATCTGGGCAAATGGCCGACGCAGACCCTTCTTGCTCGTTGGCGCGATGATGTATAGAAGTCTACGGCACAGCGCAGCTGTCTCCACTGTTGCCCAGTAAGTACGAAATACTTGAATCATTTGTGGTTTTTTTTTTTTTTTCAGAATACTTTAAATTTCCTTTTGAAGAGATCACAGAAGATCAAAGGCTAAGATTGCAATGCGTGTCACCTGCCTACGGCAGTGGCTGGAGTTGTCTTGGCCGAATGCTCAATTCGTTGATTGACTTCAGACCCACCGAACCAAAGGAACGCCCACGCCACAAAGCAAGTCATGCTCTCAAAGACTCTTTATTCACTTGATTCTTCTATTCGATTGCGTCTATGTACCTCGAAGCTAAGTACCACTGGCCCTACTTGAGAACACTCGTATGGTTCTTGTTATGTACTGCCAAAGAGACTTCGTTCGGACCTGCAATAAGAGTCTTCCCTATGCTGCCTTCTTTTACTCTGCGAAACGCCTTTTCGGCATCTCTGAAATCCACCACACTAGTAATGAGCTTCTTGACCTGTACTGCGCCACTGCCCACCAGCTCAACAGCAAGTTTGTAGTCACCAGGCCCGTACCGAAAACTACCCTTCGCAGCCACCTCCTTTTGGCATAGGGACATGATGGGAAAGTTGATATCAGATTTGCCCATGCCGCCCTGGACGTAAGTGCCTCCAGCCCTCACGACGTGAAGGCTGGTCTGAATTGAGCTTTCCGCTCCGCTTGCATCAATGACAATGTCCGCGCCTCCCTCAAGACCGCATTGGTCAAGAAGGGCTTTGGCATTATCCTCTGCCGAGATCCGTTGGGACAGGTACACGTGTGTGAAGCCAAAGTCCCTCGCGAATTCTAGCTTTGCCTGTATCACATCGACGGCAATGATTTTGGTTGCACCAAAGGCTTTAGCAACTGCACCGCACAGGATGCCCACCGGGCCTGCTCCCATTACGACGATACTTGCCCCAGGAAATGTCGTTGGCATAGCTTGCTTCACGATATGGACCGCTACTGCCAAAGGCTCAATAAGCGCGCCCTCCTCGAGGGAAACGTTCTGGGGCAGTCTGTAGCAGAAGTCGAATGGAGCGGCCCAGAAGCCGGTGAGCGTGCCGTGGTGTGGAGGTGTGGCCGCAAACACCATGTCAGGGCAGAGGTTATAACGACCTGCTAGACGTTCGGCGCACCATCGACACGGATAGCCAGGCTCGATAGCAACCTTGTCGCCGGGCTGAAGACCTGTCACCTCGCTACCGACTTCGACCACAGTTCCAGATGACTCGTGGCCTAGGACCATAGGCTCTTCTACCACGAAGTGGCCGATCCTCCCATGGTCCCAGTAATGCACATCGGAGCCGCATATTCCAGTGTAGTTGACAGCAACTATCACGTCCTTCGGTGACGAGAGTCGGGGAATAGGTCGCTCGACGAAATCGACATCGTGTGGATTCTTGAGGACGAAAGAAACGTTCGACGTTCGTGGGCTGTAGCCGGGGGGCGGGCACTCTGAAGGCATTGTCTGCTTGGCGCCGAGAGCGGTCGGAAGGGTGCGTTTGTAGGAAGATTTTCTTTCGTCTTAATGGATAATTGAACGGAATTAGATTGGTGCTTGACGAATGACCATTTACGGATTAGTATTTGAGCTTTTACGCAGAGACCTGAATATTTATCATAGCAAGTTGGCTGTGAATGCCCAAAGACTGATTCCTCTCTTGGAGTGTGATATGATTGGTCAACTCATTCTCCCCCTTGACCCAGTATCTGTCGTGGGCCGGTTCCGAGGAAGTTGGAGAAGAGGAGTCTGATGCGGCAAGTGTAAGGATGTGAGGGGTGCCGCCGGAACCGCGACTTATGTCGATCGCTCAGCAGTCTCGGTCTCGGTTCCGTCTGTACTGGGCTAATGCTCGCTCAATTGCGCTCCTATCCCTTGTGTAGTAGCCCAGTACCGATTATGCATGCTAATTCCACAAAGCATGTCGTGTAATACCAGCCGGTCATTCGGTTCCGTCTTCTTCATGCTGCAACTCTCAACATTTCGCAATGTCGGAATCTAGACAACAGGCTTCGGATGACGGCTCTCCGGCTATCATTGCGAGCCGCCGGCTGCCAACACGCGTGTCTAACGCATGCAACAGATGCCGTCGGAACAAGAGTAGAGTAGGTTTTATCGATATCTTTTGCAGACAAGCGTGCTTGATCGCTGATAGGTGTTAGTGTGATGCCTTCAGGCCGTGCTCGCTATGCGTACGAGCCAACGTCGATTGCGAGCAGGCGTCTTTGGACGAACACCCTAAAGGCAGACCTCAAAGTCGCAGTGAGCGTCGCGCATCTAAGTTACGAAAGTAAGAAAACAACCAAACACTGGATGCGATGTATAGAAATCTCTGAGGGCCACAAATGACTAACATGCGAAAGACGGCCTCAAGCTACGATTAGCCATAATGTCCGATCTGTGACCAGCCTCCCAACGGAGCAACCTTTGTCTCCGGGGGAGGACTGTCTGGCAAGAAATGTCGAGAATGGTCACGTTGCAGAAACGATCACCCAAAACGTTTCTTGGCCGTCGCTAGATTATGGGGAGTCTGAGTCTGCAATGGGCATCGCTCGCAAGGTAACGGAGTGTTCATATTGTTACCATTCTTCCAATTTTCTGACTCAAAAATTCCCACTAGATTTATCGACTGGGTAGTCAAACAATCGACGAGAACCAAACATCAGCCATTCCGGACGGTGGGGCGGGTACCCGGACTCCTCTCCTAAGGAATGGCTGCCAGCGTCTCCCGATATCCACTATTCTCGATGGCCGCTTCCCTGACCTCGGCACGATTCATTTGCTGTTGGAGGAGTACTTCGAAGCTGTCCATTGGTTCTCTCTCGTCGTGTACGAGCCAAAGCTCCGTCGTCAGCTTCAGTCGATTGAAGATGGCTATGCACATCCCTCTGAGGCACCTTTCTTGACTCTGCTTTCAACAGTGCTGGGTATGGCAGCATGGTATCAATCCAAAAAGCGTCCACACGATGTTAGCCAAGATTGGAGGCTGTGGAGCGATGATTTACTCAAAATAGTAGAAATGCGGCTTGTTCAGGTCATGGATCAGCGTTCCTTGGCAGCGGTGCAGACCCTCATCCTTTTGGGGTCACATCACGTGTACCACGGTCGACCAAACCTGTCTTTTGCCCTGCTGGGTGCAACCATCAAGATGTCTCACGCCTTGGGTTTACATCGGGGACAAAAAGACGGATCTTTCGATGACATCGAAGAGCGTAAGAGGGTGTGGTGGACTATCTACACATGGGATAGGTATGCATTTAAACATCCTTCTCTCCCTTCCGTGGTGAATTCTGACAGGTCAGATTCGCTTCGATCTCATACGGGCGCCCTCTCAGTATAAATGACGAAGACTACAACGTCGATCTGCCGGCCGAGTTCAGCGAGTCGCCATTCTTTGGCTCTGAGGCCACACAAGCACAAGTCACTGGTGTTTGTTACTCGCCATATCAGACAGAGCTGACACAACTATACCTCATCGCATCACCAGCGCTGAAGCAAATATTTGGCTCGCTATCGGCACGCGCAACATGCCAGTACTTCGACTCAGAGCACCGCTCCCTCATCACTAACGTCATTCAGCGACTCTCATCCTGGCGCCGCAATTTGCCGCCGGAGTTGTGCCTCGACTTGAAGCGGGACTACGACCCATCAAACACGGGATGGGGTGTACGGGCGCATCTTTTGCAGTCTTTGTCTTTACAGCTAACGTTCGACAACCTCCTGATCGTACTACATCGACCATTCCTGGCTCGGCAATTGGAGAACCTTTCTTTGAGCAGCCCAGGACCGAATGGTAGCAGTGTCGCAGAAATGATTTCCCCATCAGCAAGCCACGGGGGCCCGCAGAGCCTAGCCTCACAAGGCAGTGTCCACTCCCCTCACGAGAATCAGGATCTCGGCATCGAGCCAACTGCAATCTCAGAACAATGGTGGGACGCAGCAGTAAGAACTTCCAGCGTGACGGAGCTACCGCAGCTCACTCAGCTTGCCACTGAAAGCCACCTCGTGGCATTTGTGGCCATGAATATGTTCAACGCAGCGATTGTGCTGATTCTGGTTGCTCTCTCGGACCCGCTTTCCGACCAAGCTCAGGGGATAAAAAGGCCAATTACCAAGGTCTTCCGGCTAGAAGAGCTTCTGGGTCAGAGGTCGTCGTTGTCTAGCCAAAGCAGCGCCGTGCTGAAGAACCTCATCCGTCTTCTTCTTCGACGTGAGGGCGAAGCTATGATCGGAACGGCAGCTTCTAACTCGACCGTCACCGATACAGTGGCGGCACCGCGCCCTCTTCTTGACCTTGACCCCAGGTCTTCAATGTCGGAGCGGGAGTCTCACACCCAGTCTGAGTCCGTGATTAATATTTTGGTTCACGGGCCAGATCAAGGGCATGGATCTAATCCAAGCTTTGCACAGCGCCTGAACGAAAGTCTGGCTTCGGTTCAGCAGAGTACGTCTTCACCTCCTCTACGAGCCTCATATTTACACGCTGACTTGCGCTAGTTATCCCACCGTTCCAAAATGAGTACTTGGAGCCTGGTCTTGCGTCAGAGTCAAGGGGTAATGGTGCATTGCTAGGAGGTCAATCGCAACACATTAGTTATGCAGCTGGGTCTGCGTACCAGGGTCCGACCGAATCGCCAGGGCAGCATGCTGTAGATTATGGGGCGAACGGTCTCTTCTGGCTTTGGGACTCTACGTGGAGCGGCCAAGTTCCGTGATCTCTCAGAGACCCCAAATTGAATAGGATTTAACCAGTGAACTCGTGTTGGCTAGATTCAGAGTAGCGAGGGACAGAGCCTCCAGGGCCAGAGTCTTCTCCTGATGATCATTCTTCAATCTTGAAAGCGTCGTGAGGCCGAAACCTAACTAAAAAGCGCGGGTCTTCTCTCGATTCGCTACTTTCGTAGGACCCTTCACCTAGCTGCATAAAACATAGTTGAGAATTTGGCTGATCTCGGCCTCCGACGTATGCCGATGGCGCCATCTAATCTCAGTACTCCGCACCGGCACCGGAGCTTTACTCCCTGGAGCTACGGCAACTGGGCTCTCTGTATACCGGATATGACTGAAGAAAAAGAAAATCCTTCGCAAGCTTTGAAGTGTTGGTATCCATGTTTTGGGCGTACGGATCCGGGCCAATCACTCCACTGACGCATATCTACGGTTCCGACGGATGTCGAGTCTTCGCCCACCCCCTGTGCAGCCTGTGAACCGGTTCACTCCGCAGGGGCATGTTGTCATCTGACTTTTCAGCACGACTTCAGGTCTGGGGAAAAACAGGGATAAGGCTGTGGTTGCCCGTTTTCTATGTTGGCGCAATCGTGGGGATGGTTGAAAATGGTGCCAAGTTGACGAAGCTGCTGCGACCATACCCCGCGATTTGCAGACATCTACCGGTTCCGACGGCTCCAGGTAAAAGGCTCATGAATGGGTTCTCAAGTCGATGCTTTAAATAACCCCAGATTCTCCCCACGGGGTAGGTATTCTGGAGTTCGTCCTAATACAGCGAATTGAAGTTGTCTTGTCACACCACCGAAGCAATGGAGAAGCCACCTGCACCAACTCTTCTGGAGTCCGCTCCCGTTCTTTCCAATGTCGTAGATCTACCGCCGCCGCATGTCTCATGGCTCGAGTCAAAGATCAAGCCGAAGACTGTCCATGCTCGCTATCCCTTGAGGGGTAAGCCTCTGCTATGGATGACTTGCGCATTTGGCTCTCTTGGAGACGCCCTGTTTGGCTATGATCAAGGTCCGTCCACATCTTCGAATTTGTCCCTGAGTCTCTTTGACTGACACAACAATCAGGTATCGTGGCCGGCCTCTTGGTCAACCCCGTGTTCCTCAAGAGATTCTTCGCAGACTACGGAGGCGCCCACGGCTCAAGCGATGACATCAACCCCTCCATCACGGGCATCCTCGTCGCATGTCTGCAAGTCTCCGCTGCCATCGGTTCTCTCATGGCTGGAAATATTGGCGATATGATTGGCAGACAGCGATGTGTTCGACTGGGAGGCTTCATCTACTTCGCGTCCGCCTTCATCCAAGCCTTCGCCCCTAACTTTGCTACATTCATCGCCGGACGGACGATCCAAGGATTCGGCGTCGGGTTTCTGTCAATGACCGTCCCCGTCATCCAAACTGAAATCGCCGCACCGCATCGCCGTGGCCTCATGGTAGGTGTCGAATACACGTTCCTCATCGGAGGTTACGCGCTCTCGACGTGGGTTGACTACGGCTTCTACCACCTCGTGCCCAAGAGCGAGTCGTGGCAGGGGCCTTACTTCATCCAGATGGGTCTCGCGTTCATCCTCTTCGCCATGTCTTTCATTCTTCCCGAAACACCCCGCTGGCTCGCAAGGAACGGTTTCACGCAGGAGTGCATACAGACTGTTGCCGATTTGCATACGAGGGATGGTAACACGCAGGCTGAACACGTTCAGCAAGTCATGCTGGAAATCAGCGAAGCAGTGCGCTATGAGGCGACTCTCGGACAGTCATCGTGGAGGGAGATGTTTACGCGTTATAGAAAGCGGACCATCGTCGGCATTACTGCGCAGATGTTTGCTCAGCTGAACGGAATCAACGTCATCTCGTTCTACCTGCCCACGACCCTGGCCAAGGCTGGCATGAGCCAGTCCAAGTCGCTGCTTTACACTGCTGCGAACTCGATCCCATATGTAGCCGCGACGACCTTGTCTTGGTGGCTAGCTGATAGATGGGGACGCCGCCCACTGTTGATCCTCGGTGGTAAGCATAGTTCCGATATAGTTCCGATATTCTCTTCTACTCATGCACGGGAAGCTAACTATCAAGGTATTCTCATGGCCATCGCTCTCAGCATTGTCTGCGCTTTCACCGAGGCACATATACCTGACATCAATGTTCGTGCGAATGGCATCTATGCCTTTGTCGTGATCGTAGGTTTACCCCCTAGCATGGCACGATGATGTATGCTTACGTTTCTCTCAGTACAATGCCATCTACGGCTTCACCTGGGGTCCCATGCCCTGGTTGCTTCCAGCTGAGATCTTCCCCCTACGCGCCCGTAGCAAGGGCATGGCGCTCGCCACCTGCTCGAACTGGGTATTCAACTTCGCTATTGGCATGTCGGCCCCTGACGCGTTCGCGGGCATTGGAGGCTATTACTATGTCATCATTGCAGGATTCTGCCTGATATCAGTGGCTCTGGCAAAGTTCTACTATGTCGAGACGGCGAATCACACACTTGAGGAGATAGCAATTGCTTTCGGCGACAAAGCTTTTGTGGATGACGACGAGACCGTTGTTGGCGCGGCGCACTTGGGACAAGGGGAGACGGAGGCTTCTACGACCAAAGTTTGACGTCAGCGGAGAACGGCCTGAAATCAGAGTGAAAGCCTTAATTATATTGTTTCAGCGTTGCCAGACTATAAATAGCTCGTGGAATATGGATATTTGGTTTGTCATTAATAAATCATAAACTTTTACTTTTCCGATGGCTCAACATCGTACTCCACTTCGGTCCTGATAACATATTTTGCCCCCTTCCTGACGCCCGTGCCTTCATGAAGCAACGCACTAGTGTCTCCATGAGGAAATAACGCAACATTGCCCATCACTGGCTTAATTGGGTACGCATTCAGCGTCCCTTCTCTCGCCGCCGGCAAGAAGTATGTCGTCTCCCCGCCCTCGAACTCGTCGTTCAAGTAGATCAAGAACGTGAACAGCGAACTCTGCTTCTTTCCTTCGGGCGAGGCGTCGTACACGTACGTGTCGTCCGGCAGGACATCGGACGGAGGCCAGGCACCATCGATATGAGCGCGATACTCTGCGCCGGGGACGTAGCGGTACACGCGGAACCGGCGGTTCAGACCGCGTGCTAGACGACCTTTGACCGACGCCGGGACGTGTGCGGAGACGCGGGACCACAAAGTGTCATGGAAGAGAGGGTCGACAACCCAGTAGAAGTTGTGGGCCAGGATGCTGATGTCACCGTCTTCGCGCAGAGGCGCGTCAGGTAGGAAATTGACCGTCTCACCGGCGGCGATGATGGCTTTGCACTCTTCTGACGAGAGAACGTTCTTGATCACGCCCAGATTGGGAACGATGGGATGTGGCTGATATGATATATCGGTGCGGTCTGCGGCGAGGGGAATAGTGTTGGGTGCATTGGTGTAGAGGAGTGCGTCGTGATGGTTGGGGGGCTTTCTGTCGGGTCCAGGTGTTCTCTCGATCATGCGGAGACCGGTAGCGAGTGACGCCGGCGCCGAATTGAATATTGTCTTGTCCAGTACAGACGCGTACACTTCTTCTGAGGGCGTAGAGGGACGCAAGTCCCAGATCTCCTGAAGGGCGATGCCCGGTGTTGATGGAATGGGCAAGGCATTCGGGTTGGTGTCGACGGGGCCAGTCACGCGTAATATGGCGTCGATAACCCGCAGGCGCTGTTCATCCTGTTCGCTGCGCTTGATGTCGGAGCCGTCTCCGCCGGGTATTGTCGACAAGCCGCTGATGACGTCCAGGTCTCGCACCCAGCGACACAGGGCGCCGAGCTTCGGCTCTTGCTCGCGGATCTTCATTTCGGCGAGAAGAATCCTCGCTTCTGTATATCGTTCATCGGTAAGGGCGGATGTGATGCGTGCGACGAGGCCGAGGTTCGATCCAGCTGCAGGTTCGAGATGTCAGTCCTTGTTCCAATTGATATGGGACGGTGGGTGGCGAAAACGTACGAGCATCGCTTGCGGATGCCTGACGGAAGTCGTAGACGGCGACACGAAGGTCCTTGCATGCTCGCGACTTGATCAGATTCGGGTATTGTGCCAGTGTCTTGAGAGTGTCGACCGCGATCTCGAGCTCCTCGTCCGAGATGACCGTCTGCAAGCTCTTAGGCTCGAGGGAGGTGGCGTCGCCATCGCTGTCGGTCGGGGGCGGGGTGGTTGTCGTCGCGCTCGTCTTAGCCAATTTATTCGGCGCATCGGCGTGCGCGTTTTGCTTTCTCTTCTTCGACTTCGTCTTCGCCATGGCTGCTTCAATTGAAGCTGTCGATGATGAGCTCGTGGGGTGATGGCGGGGTGGCGTGGTTGACTGAAGGGTCCAGCTCCATTCATAGTTCGGGGGTACCTTTTTTCTGCGCTTTCCATTTTCCTCACAGTTTGCCACTGTGCGGCAGACGCCCGGCCGGTAGCCCCACTCTTAGGTCTCGGCCGAAGAAAGTCCGAAAAGCATGGCCGGCCGGGCCGGCGTTTTATCACCCGAGATGATGACTGGAGTTGGTAGAGTGCGGGCGATGCCAGCCAGTGCATTGCATTCCTCGTAGTTTAATTATCTGGACGTTTCTCTCAAAGACGTCTTTGCCACAATCAGATCTGACAGGCTACTGGGCAATTAAAGTGCGAAGTTTTGAGATGCACTACTTAATAAGCAGCCACAACCCGCAGAGATGTTGATATACGTGACAGCTGATTCCCCTAATTTTAGAGAAGCTTTTTTGACAGGCTTCCCGATCTGAAGTATATCATACTACCTTAAAATTCGCGTTGGTCAGTTTCTGATTTGCCTCCTTGCATACTTCCGTGATGGCCTAGCTAATTTGAAGGACCAGTCGGGGTTTTGAGCCAGGGTGATCATGAACACCCAGCAGCTATGAAGGTAAAGTTCCATTGCTATAATGGCCGGTCTATCCGATACCATAGTATATTCACTACTCAACCTGGCTCACACTGTGGTCTTTCCTATATGAC